CCCCTGCTCTCCCTTCACCCCCTCCATTCTTCCCTATTTACAAAGACTTTGTTTCCATTTTTCCTTTTATCATATTTTTTCTTTTCCCTTCTTTCCTTTCTCCTACCCTTCCCACTTCCCCAGCTCCTTTAGCCCTTTTCTTCCTGTTTCACGTTATCAACTATACAATTTGAATCTTATTTACACTTTTAGTGTTTCACACCAGAGGAACTATTTGGTATTTACACAAGTGTGTGCTGTTTATTTCACTTAAGAGTCTGGCCTCAGTGAGCATCCATTTAGCTATAGATGATCTCATTTTTTATGGCTGAGTAGTACTCCAGGAAATGTGGTATTTATATATAATAGAACACTACTTGGCTACAAAAATATCAGATTTAAGGCATCTGTAGGACAACAGACGCACCTGGAAAATATACCATTGGCTGAAATAAACCACACACACAAGCTTAAACCTTGTAAGGTATCTCTCCTTTCAGGAAGGCGAAGCACAAAGAAAGAATAATAAGAGATAGACAGGGACAAGGGGATGCATCTTTTGAAAAAGGGAAGAGGATCAAGGAAAAAAGCATGAGGTATGAGCAGGAGGAGGAGGAGAAATAAGAAGAATGAAGGCCTGCCACGTTCAGGGACGTAAGGACCTCAGTTAATGTAAACATTATTTGCCGTAACATGAGCTAAGATTAAGGACATGAGCAGGAATGAAACAAGGCCTGAGGACCTGCAGGGGGAGGGGAAGGGAATGTGAAAAGGACGAGCTGTGGGGTGTACAGGCTCCCCCTCCCCGAGATGGCTGTAAACTGCATGGACGCAAACGTGTACCAACAAAATTAAACATTTCGTCAGAAAGAATTTTGTTCCGGATACAGTAAAAGTTAGGGTGCATTTAAGGTGTGCACAGAAAACTTCTGGCAGGCTTTGGATTCCCAAGTACGGAGGTACTGTTTAAAGGGTGTACTTAAGAATACACGGATTATTTAAGGCCATGTAGTGAGCAGATCGGATGATAAGAAAATAGATCCAGAAGTTAAGGACAAACATCAAGCTCTGACGATCTCTAAGCTTACAGAAAGCCCAGGAGAGAACATAAAGAACAACTACTGAGATAGAAGAAGGGCAGTGGAAGTGACCTCCAAAAAGAGAGTCGGGGGCACGGACCCTGGAGGACAGCCTGCGGTCTTCACCTCTCACCTCGCAGCCAGGGCCTGGCTCATGGCGAATGTCGCGCAGCATTCCTTTCTTCTCTCCACACAAGGCATCCCAGAGCAATTCTCCATTACTTTTCTTTATTCCCCGGGATTAGTCCCAGGAATCTGAAACTTTATCGGTCTCCTCAAGTGATTTTTGGGTACAGATCAATGTGGAGAATTCCTATGCTTTCCCCCTCATCCGGGTTCTTTCTTCTCCGTTCTTCTTGCCTGTGCCCCTGAGTTTCCTTAGGTCTTTCCTTGGTCCGGCCGTCCAGTTTAATTTAATTTCCAGCTACTTACTGTCTCATTACTGATTAATGAATAGAAATTCATTCCCCAAATCTTAGCTGCCGGAAACAGTGATCATCATTATATTACTGTTCACAGCTTCCGTGGGGCAGGACCTCGGGAAAGGTGCAGTCGGCTAAGCAGTTCTAACTTAGGCCTTCTGTGTAGTCGGTGACAAATACTGGCGGAGCTGAGTGTGTCAGTGACCAGGGAGCTTCCTTTCATGGATGACTGGGGCCTTTCTCTGACCACTCCAAGGGACCTAGTGTGGATGTCCTTTGCAGAGTGGACGTCTGACGTAGGCCAGGCACCTACGGGAGCGTCGCAGGAGGGCTGGGTAGAAAGGACACCGTCTTGATGACCTATCCTACGAAGTCACATCGTGTCGCTTCCACCATGCTCTCAAAGCCTGCACAGAATCCAGAGTTGGGAACGTGGGCTCTACCGTCTCCAAGAGTGAAGGTCTACGTCACATTCTAAGATCTTATGGGACGACAAGAGGGGCTGTGCCTGTTGTCCTAGTCACTTTCTTGTTGCTAAGATGCCATACCTGACACCCACGGCTTCAAAGCAGGAAGGTTTGTTTGGCTCACATTTCCAGTCCATGGTGGGCCGGCTCCCCGGCGGGAAGGCCTGGCGGAAGGGGCAGGGCAGGGCAGAGCTGCTCACATCACGGCGGCCGGGAGCAGAGCAGGGAGGAGCCAGGGAGGGAGCTGAAGCTTTCCGGGTCACACCTCCAGGGACCCACCTCTTCGGATTAGCCCCACCTCCTAACAGAAGGTCAGAAGTAACCCAGAGTGAATCCTCTTCCCCCAGTCCCACCTGGGAGTGCGTGAGGCTCCCGCGGGGGCTTTGGAAAATGAATCCGATTCATACGCCCATTCTGTACTCTGTCTTCTGTTCTCTTTCAGGGGCGTTGTTCACGCTACGGGTTACACATGGGATTGTCTTTCCCGTCCTGGTGAAATCCTACACATCCTTTACTGGGCCTGACTGTCCTGCCCTCTGTGGCCTCACCCACCAGTCCCCTGGGAACAGTCACTGCCCCTAAATCACGTCACCACGCCTCTTTCATGGTAGAGGAAGCTCTGTGTGCTCTGTGACTCCAGTTAGATCGGGAGCTTTTAAAGCTATTCGCCTTTGAACCCCTCCTGCCTAGCAGCACGAGATAGATAAATATTTGTTATTGGCAATCCGGCATCACAGCTGCAGCTCTCCTGTAGCTTGTTAGTTTAGGGGGAGGGGAAGGCTTAGCCGAGAGCGGAAGGTATTTTTTTCCCCTTTTCTATTTTAGGGCCTTCTTTCCTGGAAAGGGAGACTATAGATCTGGAAACAAAAGAGAAAATCAGAAAATATGATTTTCCCAAAGATGAGATCATTAATGCATTTATGAGATAATCAGAGAGCCAGCTCCGAGAGCTCCCTATTCAACTATAAATTGTTCCGAGTGCTCTGGTCTCTTGTAGCTACGCTTCTGTATCTACTGATGTGCTTCCCAAAAGCAACAATTTCTGCTAATGCACTGACCAGGCAGCAGCGTAATAAGCCTGTCAGCGCACGATGGACGGGGCCGAGGGCTGGAGGAGGTAAGCCTCCTAATGTTTTTATCCTCTTGACTGAAGTAATTTCGGTGGTGACATATGATTGCATTTGGGCCTTTGTCTCAACCCTAATGAATCATCTATTACAAGACTTTCAAGGTTATCAGGGGGAAATTTATCCTGGGAAGGGGCAGTGTCTTGCAAGTGCATGGGATGGCTTGGGCAAAAAAAGCCACCTAAGCAAGAAAACGTACCGCTGGAACCTTTGAGAACCGTCTTTCTAATAATGCTGTGCTCTAAGTGTAATCACTGGATTCAGTTTTCAAGTGTGATCTTCCAGATTCTGTTAACAGTTACTCTGCAAAGCAGTAATGTGGCCCAACACAGGAAATGAGCTGTTCTCATTATCAAGGGAAAATTTAGGGAACTTTGGTCTGTTTGTTGCCCTCTCTCTCCAACTTCTCCTTGTTTTCCCTAAAATTGGCTCCTAGTGGACATTATCTGGCTTCTAAGTATAGGCTAGTACGATAGATTGTTTCTGTTTCATGGGAAGCACCCAGCTTCGTGTTTTCTATTCATTGTAGGTATGGCTAATGTAGCAACATTTATTTAAGCAGGAAATCTTAATATTGGGTTGAATGTCATCGCAGCTTGAAATGTGGCTGCTGAAGGATCCTGGAGGATTCCTTTTCATTTCAGTCGGTTTTCCTTTGTGCAGAAACCTGCCTGCTGTGAGTTGTGGTACAGTGATTCCAGGCAGATACTTGTGTTGCACCTTGGATATGAAAAGCAGTGGTTACAGATGATGAAGAAAAAAATGTATTTTTAATAATTGCAGGGCCAGGATTTAGCTCTGTGGTGCCACCACCTGCCTCACAAGTTCAATCCCTGATATCAAAATAATAATAATAATAATAATAATAATAACAATAATAATAATAATAATTGCAGCAAGGAATCAATAAATCACTTAGGCTAAGCAGCATTTTTTTTACTGCTTGACTTTGAAAAGCATCTTAGCTACTGAGCTGATCATAGATCTCAGCTTCATTAATTCCTAGATTCCTCTACGAATCTTCTAATTTTCCTCCTGGGCCAGGCATAGTGGTTCATTCTAGTAATTCCAGCCCTCAGGAGTTGACACAGTAGGATCACAAGTTTTAGGCCAACCTGGGCTGTAGAAAGCTCAAGGCAAGGCAGGACGACAAAGAAAGACCCTTTCTCAAAACACAAAACAACCACCATCAACGAAACTCCTATTTCCCTCTGGGGTAGGATATGCCACTTGGCCAGGCAGTCTTGGTTTCTTTACTTCTCAAAACGAGGCTTCAGCTTGATCTCAGCATTTTGTAGCACTGTATTGCCACTCTTTGAGAGAATGTTATTAACTTCAAAATTACAGTAACCATGGCGACCATCACTAGGTCACTTTGCTCTGAGTGGAACAGCATCGGAGAGGGTCTCTTCTCCCAGCGTCCTGTGTCTGAGAACCTTGTTGGGCTACAGAAAGTAGCTCTGTAGGGAAAGTGCCTTGCGTCTTGCAGGACGGAGTCACCTCTTCATTTGTGGTCCCCAGCCCCGTAACACTTCCTGCAAATGAGATGACACATCGCTAACTTCACCTAGTCCACACAACATGAATATCTGCATAATGGTTTTGAGTTCTGAAGCTCTACTTATTTCTTTTAGGATGTTGTGAAGAATATTCAAATGAATTCAATACCCAGAGAAGTCTATGGAAAGAAATGGACCGGCGTGGAGGCATCTTTCCACTTTAGCCCCACTAAATCTTCCCTTTCTTCCACAGCCTACCGTTTTCTTATTAAACCACTCAGATATTCATAGTCCCTCGCCCTTATCACTCAGATCTCTACCTCTAATGTGTTTCATGAGGTACCTTTCATAAGATCAATTATATTTATGTTTATATAATTTCACAGAGGAAAAACTTTGGACAGACACAAATAGGGACAGTGGGATTAGAGGAGAGTCAGGGAAAGTTTCCTTTTTACCTAAATGTTTCTGTTTGATTTTTTTCAGTAACTTAGCAGTTAATAGCTTCTTTGTAGCCCTTACCTTCCCCCTTGGTTAACCAGGCCAAATACCATCTCAAATTCTTCCCACGGGCAAGGAGAGGAGCGTTAAGTGCTGCTTATTACGCAGCTGCGTGTGCGTGGTATTTGCGTGTTCTGAGGATCGCACAAGCAGTGCTTCTAGGAAACGCAGTGGACCCCAAGTTCAACCCACCTGACGCAGGAACACCTGAGTTCATTAGGTCGGTGAAAATTCATCTGCCTCTTGTCAGCCATAGTGTGAACCCAGGTAAACGTCCAGATCTCAGGTCTATGGACTTTCAACCAACTTGAGTTACAACCAGCCCTCGGGAACCGATCGACTTCGTAAGTCAAGGGCCACCGTATTATTATTCTGTTACCATGGTGATGGGGTTTGGGGCGCATTTGAGGTTCTGGTGTGTGACAAAGAATTGGACGCGGCACACAATGGTGAGGAAAAGCGGTGATGTTTAACGAAGTTTCATTAGGCCATGGGCCGCTCAGAGCGCCTGGGGCAGAGCGCTGAGTGTGCTGGGTTTAAGAATTCAAAATGGGGTTCCTTGTCCAGGGCGCCTCCCATTGGGTCTTCCGGAGCAGACTGACCACGCGATTGACAGGGTGTCTACTGCGCATGTCCTTTCCCGTAACTCACTCTGTCATAATGGGATGCCCTGGCGCAGTCCACAGGTGTGAACCCTCAAAGAGCTCCAGGGGTGAAGAAAGGCGCTGGAGAGTCAGGTACTCGTGCGTGGGCTTGGGCCTGAAATTTCCCAAGGCAGGCCCAGGACCTTAGAACAAAGGATTGGGGTTGGCCCTGGGGTGTTGACCAGATTCAGGAGAGTGCAGGGACGCCCCGGAGTCGCAGCTGTACTGCCGAATCTGTGTTAATTGCTGCCTCACCATTGTAGAACTGAGGCTGAAAGATGCATCTGCACTCTGGAGCAGCTGGGAGAGAGCAGAGAGGAGACTCCAGCCCACCAGACTAGTCCGTGCTCGTCTATCAAAGAACACGTTCTTCGTGTCTAAGAGGGTCACTTACACGCGGCCTTTCTGTGGTCCCTGAGCGGTTGATTCCAAAAGAAAACAATGCCTGATTGTGAACAAGTGGCAGTTGAACTAGATTTTCATCTTTAACCTACAAGTTTAGCATTTTGGGAAACTGCTTGAGAGAGGTCACGCGCTTGGTTAGTTGCCAGTTGAGGACTGGAGTCCGGGCCTCCCGGTGCCTGAACTGCTCTCCCTGCTGCAATGTGTTGGTGACCTAGAAAACAATTTCTCCTTGCATTCATGGCCAAGGTGTGGCCTAACATGGCCAGATGCTGCAAGGCAAACTGCTCACTTTGAACAAGTCTCTTTGCCAAAGTTCAGGGGCTAAACCTATTTTTCAGGTCTGAGGCAGAGTGGGGGGCCTGGGTTTGCAAGTAGATGGCAAACATAGCATCTCATTCAGAGCGCCAGGCCATTGAGTCAGGAGGAGGAGGGGCCCGAGATCAGCTCGCAGAGTTCATTCAGGTGTGCGCAAAGTCAGCAGGTGCAACAGGGATCTTTGGAAAAGTTGCCAGAATGGAAGTTCTGGCAGTTTCTTCTTTTCTAGTGGTAATACATATGCAGATTAGGAGTGACCCAGGGCAACCAGAGATACACTAAAAACAAATATGCTGCTTGGTTTAATGTGTGTCAAGTCTTGTCCGACTATTACTTGGTATAAATGATGCATAAGTAAGAGGTTCACACCATTTGCGGGTGGGCCTATGAGGATCTGGGAATCCAGAACTGAAAAGAAAAGATTTTTTAGAATAAGAGTAATCAACGAAAATGGGAGACTTTTGAAATGGAATAGTCTATTGCCTGGTGCTGAGAAGCCAGATCCTGACACGTTGAGGACCTGGCCTCTCACTTCCTTGGTCCTCAGTTCTTCGTGCACCCGATAAAGAATTCAGTCGTCACATAGAAACTCACAAACGATGATAAGCTTTTAATTTAAACCAGGTCCCAGCCCAAGGTGGGAGGGCCTTTAAAGAGCATTTCCTCACCTGATGTCTGTGGGCTGTGGGCTGTAGCAGCCAGGAATGCTGTGTGCCATGTTCCTGAGGTGGACAACCAGCTGGCTGGCTATCGGGAGGACAGTGCACCCCATGTCCCTGTGGTCTGTGGGGTCACACAGGGCTGAGACCCAAGAAATGGTTATGAACGTCTCATATAGTGAAAACTTTCTTACCCGCCGACACATGCTATTTGACACCCACCCCCATTTCCCCTCAGACCCACTAGAGTCTAACTATCTGCCTGACGAGACCATTTAAAGCCAGGGTGGAGGAACAGGTCAACTACTCTGAACTGAGACTCTATCTGTCCCCAAAGAGGAGTGTTTTGTTTTGTTTTGTTTTGAGACAGGGTCTTACTATGTAGTTGAGACTGACCTGGAACTCACTGTGTAGCCCTTGCTGGTCTTGAACTCACAGCGATCCTCCTGTCTCAGCCTCTCAAGTGCTGGGATCAAAGGTGTGCGTCACCACGACCAGCTCCCAAAGAGGAGTCTTATACAGGGAAGTTCCATAAGCTGACAGGTCAAGGATGCTCTTTCATCAAACCTTGGAAGGATGATGTAATAGCAGCTTTCACCTCTTACTGAGGGAAAGAAACTGGGTCTAGACCAAAGGACTCTTGACCCTTCAGTGGCCAAAGAGCATATAATTATGTGAGAGGTATGGCTGTGTGCGTCTGGGAGCAGAGGCCGGAAGTGGGGCTGTTCAAGGGCAGACAGAAATGTGTGTGATGGTCTAGATCGTGTCACCAGAGGGGGAGAGTGAACTAACCAACGTGTATCGAGGCACCGGAGTCGAGTCGTACTGCGTCTACTGAGAATTGCTTTGATTTTAGTTTCAAGAAATTGCACATGTCATTTAAATCATTTGTTCTGAATCAAAGAAAACCAGAAAGCACTGGGACAAGTTAAAACATGTATCCTGTGCAAGCTGTTGACCCCACTCCCCGGCAAATTGTAGACAGTCGTTTCTCAGAATTCTGACTTCATCGGGGGTTGCCAGAGTGACCTCAGCTAGTGAGGACATAGCAGAATGAACTGGATTCACACTGACCTTGCTGACATCTGAGAAGTGCTGTCACCTTAGTGGTATTGGTCACATTTTTTTTTTTCAAACTACGACAGATGATCAATCAAAATTAAATGGGGTCCAGACCATAACGAGGTTTTACTTTCCATCATTTTCCATAAATTGTCTTGCACGAAGGTTCCAGAATTTTATATTATCCTGAAAATTGTGCATCAGGAATACGCAATTTACTATTATGCCTTTCTGGTCTCTTCCCTCATCATTTCCTGCTGTCCTTCATGCATCAGGAAGCAAAGACAACTGAGGACTTCTTTGGAGCAGATTGGCTGTGTTCCCTCCTGGTAAGCATCATTTTCCATAAAAACTTAACAGTGCTACTGGAGAAGGGAAGGGTGATCAATCTCTTAACTGTTATCTTATTCAGGTATGGTCTAAGGTGATTTAAAATATGTTAACTCTTTCTGGGTGTCTCTAGCTTATCTCCACAAAAAGTCTGAAGATTTCCTAAAAATGCCTTTCATTTTCTCTGTAGTGTTCTCTATAGGTGACATTAATAATATGCAATTATAAGTGACATTAATAATAATATAATAGAGTTATCACTATGATCTTTAACAAATAAATCATATCCACACTGACCACATGGCTCTCTCTTCCTAGGAGGGAACAGAAATGCGCTTAAAATGCTAGAAATTTACTTTAAAAATCACAACGGATATCGACACTGACAAAGACAGATGTTAAGAGGCAATTTCTAAGCAAAATTATTGACAAAATAAAGATTATTGTCACTGAAAAATACTAATCTATACCTGCCTGCAACTCTGATTAAAAAAAAAAATAGTTCTCAAACCAATAATAATTCAACTGCCATTATTCATTATGGGAATCTCATAGGGTTCATCCAAAGGTGAACATTTATAATTCACAATGCATGCTATTTTTAAAAAGTTTTCTCAAAATGGAAGATAGAAAAATATTTGAAATTTTGAGTGCAAGCACACATATTCAGTGCTGTATTAAAGTTTCATGTATTCCTTAAATATTTATCTACTTTATCCATGATTTCCCTTTGTGAGGTAGGCAGCCAGCATTCCTTGTATTTAGCTTTGACTTATCACTTACAAGCCAAAGACCAAAGGTGAAGCCTGTTAAACATGAGTGGGTTTTACTCCCCCAAGCACTGCCCCTGAAAGTTACTGTGATTTTTCTTATAATTATGAAATGAGACACATTTATTATTGAAGTATTGAAAATCTATAAAAAGTAATTAGAATTCTTAGTAATTCCAAAGCTAGATAGAATAGTTTCTTTTCAAGTATCTTCCCAAGCATCTTCTCAAAATGTCTCTGTATATACATTTCTATACGCACATAAAACCATACTTTATAAGGGCCAGGGACTTAGCTCAGTAGTGATACCACCTGCCTTGCAAGCACAAGGTCCCAAGTTCAATTCCTGGTACCAAAAAAAAACCAAAAAAAAACCAACTCTATAGCCTGGCAACTATTTTTAATGATAAATGTGTAATGAGCATATTCTATGGCACATGGGAGGGACAGTTATATACAGAACTAGCTGTCTCAAGTTAGAATTCAGAGATCCCCTTTTTATTGTAAGTTTAACATAGAATTTGTTCTTCTCTTACTACTCACGTCTTTCAGCAAATTAAAATAGGATTCTGGAAACATTAATTTGCTCAACCAGTGATGTTTTATGAGTGACTTTGTGTATATTTATGGCTACAGGCACCCTTCATCTGAACATTCTGCATTCAGTTTTTTAAATGACAGAAATGAAAAACAGTGGCAGGGAAGGATTGGCTGAGAGAAGGAAAAAGAGGAAAAACTCCTTTGTGCCTCATCTCTTCCTCTTGCTTGCCCCTTTTTGTGGAACATGCGTTCGCACATGGAGCAGTTGTTTCTGATTTTTGTACTTTTAATCCAGATGTTGAACAACTTTTTCAAATGCAGGATTTCCGAGGGTAACCTCTGAGAAGTAGAATAACTGGGTTAAAAGGTATTAATGTTTGAATTACTTGCTAGATACTGCAAACTCCTTCCCAAGGAAGTTGAATCGTAGTTTGCCTCTTGCTTTCTTACTTCAGGCTTATTACCAATCTCTCTGTCTTTTTTATTCTCAAAATCTTCCTACCTTCAACCTCTGGTTTTCATGTTCAGAGTTGCTGGTTTCTTTGGCACAGTAAGTACACAACACAGGACAGGCAGAGCATCGTGGCTCAGTCTCTTCTACTTTTTATATTTTCTACTTTTAAAAAAATCATGCTTTAATGAAGATCGCCTCTTCTCTCACGGAACGAGTTTGCTTTCTATCTTTTTATGTCCATCTTGAAAATACAGCTCTTCAGCCTTCTGTTCGGGCACAGGATTCATCCTCTCTCCCTGCATTGGACTCCAGCCTCCAGTGCCCTTCTTTTTTTTTAAATTTTATTTTTTAAGGTACCTAACTTGGGTCCCTGCACTTGTGAGGCAGGCGGCAGCACCACTGAGCTAAATTCCCAGCCCATCAGGCGCACCTCCTGCTGCTCTGAAGCCCAGGAATACTAAAGGCCTCTGAGCCCTGGTGAGACCAGTAGGTCCTCCCCAGACAGCAGCACAGCAGGAGTGACTGTCCGAATTGTGATGTTGTGACCCACAGAGGGTCAGCAGTCCATATAGCTGACCCGATAGAAAGTCACAGGCTGGAAAAAAAAAATAACAATGGCAACTTTCCTTTTGCTAATGTTAATAGAAAAGTAAATGATGAATGTTTCCATGAGCTATGATGACTGTGGGTCCATGTTTGTGTTCTTTAGTAGTTTAACATTTTCCTAATAAAATAAAAATGCCCTCTAGATTTAGGCTTCGAACTTCAACAACTGCTAACAGCACAAACAGAGATACACGGGAAATTATGTCTTCCTGTGGAAAGGACAAAATTTGCCACTCAAAAAGCATTTGGTGTAAACATGGTTTAAATATAGATGATACAGAAACATGTGAAATTATATCAGCAATCAGGATAACAAGGAACTGTTCTATTTCCCAAAAGAATAATAAGAAAACACAAGTTGTAGAAGGCAAACTAAAGATTTAAAGACACTTACATATTATATTAACCGAGTTTTATAACCTTATTTGAACCCTGACTCAAAAGGACTCAAAATTACGATATATCTGAGATGACTGAAAACTTGAACACTGATTAGATGTTTCATGCTCTTAAGAAATCATTGCTAATTTATTTTGCAGTGGTTCTAAAAAGAAATAGTTCTTACCCTTTGCTAACACAGGCTGACATGTTTACGCATAAAGTATACAACGTTAGTGATATGGATTTGATTTTTCAAAGTCTCTTTTGTGAAACTGAAGTTCAGTTTCCTCTCATTGGACAGGAAGCTAAAATTTACCCCTAAATTGACAAATTAACATGAAAAAGTAACCCAGGTGGCAAAACCCTTGCATCGCAGGACAGGAGGGGATGTGAGGCCTCTCTGGGGGTTCACAGGCAGGGGCTGTCACCCAGTTGAAGATGAGGTTGGTCGGTTTGCTGGTTAGTTCAGCTGCCTTTTGTACTCAGAGTCCAACACACGCACACACACACACACACACACACAGACACACACACAGAGACACACGTACACAATGGGGCTCTGGACTCCACTGTCCCCTCAAAAGTCTGATCTGTTTTTCTGAACTCTTTTGCCAAGAAATACCCTCGAAAAAGTCACAGGGTGTACCAGATAAGTGGTACCACCTGGCACTTGCTCCAGCCAGTCTGCCCTAGCCCTCTGCCTCAATCCAAGTTAACTGACAACCCGAATCCCAGGAGGACAGCGCCAGACAGAGAAGCACAAGATTCGCACACAGCTCAGGAGAGGACAAGGGTACGCCTAGGGCGCCTTTGGGTGTCACTAACAGAAACTAACTTAAGTAACTGGATTTATTGGCTCAAATAACGACTATATCTAAAGCTAGACCAAAATAAGTTTGACTGAAATGCAAAAAAAGCAAAAAAACAAAAAACAAAAAACCCCAAAGCAAGCATCCCTTTCCTCTTGTTTGCTCTCCCTTTGGCGCCCCCTGGTGTTGGGGAGATGTTCACTATATTCCCAGCCCTAAATTACATCTGCGCCGTGGAGAGGCGAGAGGAGCTGATTTGGAAGAAATGAGGAAGATTTGAGTTTGGAAGCCTCCTGCAAAGACTTCCTTGGGTATTTGTAGGGCCGTCCTCCCAGTACTGGGCCGGCAGTCACCCCACACATTACTCAGCAGGGCATCCGAACAAAAAGTCCTTTTAGCCTCATAAATATTAGACGGTATATATTAACTTAGCACTTGTTTTGGAAATTTACACTTATTTTCCCCTCTGGAAGTATTGTCTTGGTTCTCTTACATAGCTTTTCATCATAACTCTTCCTTATCATCATGGTACGTGGTCTGCCATTGTGTTACTTGGGTGTTTATGATTTACTGTGAAATAAATATGTACAAAGGATCATTTGCATCTTAAATATGAAACCGTAGACAAATACAAATGAAATAAAATAATAGGGGGAAGTATACATTTGTAATTGAGATGGAAAATTCTATGTAGGCCTGACATAAAAATGGAAAAAGTGTGAAATTAAAAAAAAAGGTACTCATAAATTCAACTACTTGGGCTGGGGATTTAACTCAGTGGCACCACACTTGCCTTGCAAGCACAAGGTCCTGAGTTCAATCCCCAGTGCTGTAAAAAAAATCAACTACTTAGCATCCACAAAAAAATAGTGTAAAAAAGAGATTAGAGGAACAGTGAACTGGTACTTAATATTATGATTAATATGTGCTACTTATGTAATTGCCATAAATTACAATGTTGCAATTCAATATATAAAATAACTACTTAGAATAAAAAAGAGCAAATGCCATAAATTTAATTCACAGAAAAATGCAAATAATCAAAAACATATTAAAATGCTACATTGACTGCTACTGAGAAAATTATAAATTCAAACTGAGATATTTTTCTCAAAAAGATAAAAATTAATGATTTTTTTTTTTTGAGACAGCGTCTTGCTATGTAGTTCAGGCTGGTCTTTTTTGCTTTCTTTCTTTCTTTCTTTCTTTTTTAAGACAGGGTCTCACTATGTAGTTGTATGTAGTTGAGACTGCCCTGGAACTCACCATGTAGCTCAGGCTGGTCTCGAATTCACAGTGATCCCCCTGCCTCAGTCTCCCGAGTGCTGGCATTACAGGCATGCACCACCACGCCCGGCTTTTAGTTCAGGCTGGTCTTGAACTCACTATGTAGTCCAGGCTGCACTCAAACTCACCGCAATCCTCATACCTCAGGTTCTTGAGTGCTGGAATTACAGGCGTGCACCACCACACCCAGTTAATGATGATTCTTATAAAGGAAACAGACCAGTTTAGGAGATGTGAGTGTAATTTAGTGAAACCACATTGAAAGCAATTTGGAAATATCTGTTGTTTTAAAAATTCAAAGTTAAGGTATTGATAACTTCAGATTTAGAAATTCTAAGAATTTCCCAAAGAAATAGTTTCATAAATGTAGAAACATATATGTACGTTGTATTATCTGTTTGTTTCCCTATAAAAAAAATCTGGAAACCACTTCATTGTGTATCAGCTGACAGCTAGTTTAAAAGAGTAGAGGAGGGCCGGGGATTTAGTTCAGTGGTTCCACCACCTGCCTCACAAGTACAAGGACTGGAGTTTGATTCTCGGTACCAAAAAAATGTATATATATAAATATATATCTGAGCAGAGAAGCCATGTAAGCCATATTTTTAAATTGTTAAAATAATAACATATCTACATATACTGACAAGGAAGGATAACCACATAAATTTACAAACTGGTAATGCCACATTTTCATAAGTATATGCCATGGGTACTTAAGTATGTATTAAAATTCCAAAAGTGTACACATCAGAGACAAATCTGATTATCTCTTAAAGGTGGGATTATTGAAAAGTAACACTTTCTACTTTGTGCATTGTATATCCTTTAACTATTTTACGGTGGGCCTATAACACTTTGGTTACCAGAAAAAAAAATTATCATTTTTCCATACCTTTAAATATGTAATTTTCAATGTTTAAAATAGAAATGAATAATTTTTCAAGAAAGAAGCTAATGCTGTCAATGAATGCTGTTGAGTAATTCTCATCAATATGTTGGCCTGGGGCTTCCCTGACACTTTATTGATCACTACAGGTAACGGAACCATTGAGAGTTCACTCTGTGACTGCCTGGAAGGGAAACCTTAATGGAAGGGACAAAAGCAGTCAAATAGGTGTTCAAGATGGCAATTGTCTGGCTCTTCCCTCATACGAAATACAAACAGTTGCTCCATCAAATGGTGCATTTGACAGAAAAAAAATAAAACAGCTTGGGTACAATTATAGTGTCTCATGGAACTTGAATTCTAGATGAAAAACCAAAGAACTAGATGAAAAAAAAGGGGTTGTAATAATACACTGAAATAAGATGACAGTTGGGGCAGGAAGTAGATAGGATTTTGTGTGTTCAGAGTAAAGCAGGGCTTTCCTGCTTATATATGTAAAGGTGGAGAGAACGTGTCACTTCTAGGTCAGTGAAATGCCTAAATGTGGCTGCCTCTTACTTATGTGCACCAGGGACGCTGGAGTTGGGGACTTTTCATGGAGGGCCCGGAGAGGTCATACCGTCCATACTGGCTGTGCAGAGGCTGGGTCGGAGCGGCGGGAGAGGTGGTCCGCAGCAGGCACAGAACCGGCTCAGGTGTGGCTGCTGCTGTAACTCCTGCGGCTTTTTCCATGTGCTGTTCTGACTCGAAGTGGGGCCTTGGAGAAAAATAGCTGAGTGTGGCTATGAACTAATCAGTGGCAAGATGAGGGATCCAACACCGAGCATGGGCCGGCCCGTAGGTACTTGTTATGGGCTATTCAGTGACTTCACGGCCCTATCGTCGGATTTTCATTATAGATAGATAGATAGATTGATTGATTGATTGATTTTAAAAGGCTCGAATGAACCTCAGTGCAAATTCCCTGGGTTTAATGCTCAGTACCCAGCCCTGCCCCCAAAAGCCATCATTGATCCTCTGTATCGTGCAAATTCATACGATAAAGAGATCCTAGGAACTCTGTTCCAGAACACACCCTGCGTTCGTTCCCACTGTCCCTCGTCATCATGCTGAGAACGGCGCCACCGCTCAACCAGCTACGGAGCACAAGAAGCCTGAGAAGGTAACGTCGGTGCTGCTGAGGACTCTCTGCCCTGGCCCGCCTCCTCCGCCCAGAACGGAAGCCGAGGTGAACTCAAAGTGTGATTTAGATCAGTTACAGAAAACCCACGCCTTCCACTTACCCCAAGAAAAACAAGAAACAAAGATCGGCCCTGAGCAGCCATCCATCCAGCTTCCTGCTCTCCGTCCCGCCCTCCCCGCGCCTCTGCTCCCTTCTTTTCCTTCTACTCCCCAGCCTCCGGGCCTCCGCCACCTTCACTCACCAGCTCCTTCCGGGGCACGGCTTGGCCCCGCCTGGAACACCTCTGCTCAGATCTCCTTCCCCCACTCAGGTCCACCTTCAGAGGTGACCGTGATGGTCACTTGATGGAAACCACCCTCACGGCCACTGAGAATGGCATCTCCCCTCTGTATCTTCTTTGCTTTATTGCTTGGAATCCAATGCACCCTTGGCTTATGAGCTCAATTCATCTGCGAAGGCTGGTTGTAACTCAAATTGGTTGAAAGTCAAAACTATTTTTCCCATAAGAAATAATGGAAATACCCATAGTGCATTCTGAACCTCCCAAAGCACCCCTTAACTAACATTTTCATAATAAAAATGGTTGTATAATGTGATTTACCAGAAATACCAATGATTTTCTTAGTGTGTTCACCAAAGTTGTAAAATGTGCCTAGTTTACCAGAAACAACAATTCCATGCTGTGCTCAGCATTAAAGTTGACATCGTTGGCTTGCAGGAAGGGAGGACCGAATGGAAGGTGGTTATCATTTGGAAGAGTCCCCTTCCCTAAGAACTTCAGGAACCTGGCTCTCTGGTGTCCTTTCTGTCCTTGGGAGAGTCTGTAGCCCAGTAGGACCTGCTTGTGGCTCGCTAGATCTCAACCTTTTCGAGCTAAACACTGGTCTAAGGCTGTCTGTTTCTGTCTTTAACCCCGTTCCATAGTCTGACGTGCCATGACATTGTCATTACACAAGTGAATGCAACGATTGGCTTTTGTTCTGTCTGGGTGTCTTCTCTGCAGTGTTTGTAGCTCTGTCCCTTTTTTCAGAAGAAGAACTTTGCTGCACTGATTGCTGCTACTCCCCGTCCTCTTCAGAGAGCCCCTCAGCTGCCACGCTCCCTCCGTTGCTCAGCCAGAAGTTGCTGGAGCTCCGGGGTGGACAGTTCCTCTGAGGGCTCCTGCACTCCTCAGCTTCACCAGTCTGCGTGCGAGCCATGGACTCCGCTGTGGTGACAGTGTCGTCAGCGCAGGGTCAGCTGAAGGCTCAGCCTCTGCTACGCAGCCTTCACAGTCTCTCTGCTCGTCATTTTAGGCCGAGCTTGATCTCAATGTCCTCAGAGAAACATTGGCCCAGGATTTCTCAATGAACCCCACATGGGAAAGACTGGCATTCCGGTCGTAACCCAAGACTTTGGTTGTAAGTTAAAACTAAAATCTGTTCATAACCCACACTGTTCCTGTGTAAGGCTGGTCGTAAAATCAAGGGTCCGCTCTACCTTCAAGACACTGAAAGCTCACTGAAGGCCCGAGTTTGCCGAGTCTTCTGATGCCTAGCTTGGCACCTGTGCATATCAAGTGATTTACACTTACGAAGCCTGAACATACAAGAGCGGCCAGGTCACCTGTCTGCAAAGGGCTCCGACCCACTCCTGCTGCCTCGCCAGCCAGAAGCCAGAACTTAGTCCCTATTCAGCAGATCAGCTAAGCCTTTGTCAAGAGCCACCAGCTTCCCCAGGATTTCACCTTCCGAGTTTCCAACTCAGGACTGGTGGTGAAAGCCGCACAGCCCCTGCCGCCCACCCCACAAGGGCTCCAGGCCTGTTTCTTTATGCTAACATTTATTCCTTGCCAAACTTCTGAAAGAATTGCTGAGAAAACTGCCAGGCGTCTCTTCTCTTACCGTGGTTAAAGTCTGAGAGAAGCCGTTTGTCACTCTGAACGTGCAACGTCGGAGATATTACTGTGGCGTGGTGGCTGTAAAGGCTGAATTTCCCTCAAGCTGTGCTTCTGCTTTAAGAAGACCACAAATTAACCTGAAACCTGAAACCAAGATCTGTGATTGCTTAGTGGGCCGAGGCTGTAATAACATCAGCCAGAGACACAGGAGCAAGCAAAGCCAAGACGCCTCCGGGCTTCTCCTTGGAAGCTCAGGCCAGCAGCCCCTGGGCCACGTCCCCTTCTCTGGCCCCGCGTGCCCCGGAACTGCGTCCCCACCTAGCACGCCCTCCCTGTGCTGGCTGTCAGCACACACGCTCTGCCCACTTGTTTCCTTACAACTCCCATCTTCCTGCCGGCTTTTCTCAGACCGAAAGCTGCTCCCGAGCTGGCTGGGGTGGTCAGCATTTTCCTGTCCTTCCTCACAGTGCTGGGCCATTATATTCCGTGCGCTGCGCTGTCCAGTCCAGAGCCCACTCACCGCGAGGGGCTTCTAAGCACCTGAAATGCGACCGATACAAAGTGCGGCCTGCTGTGTGCACACAGACAACTCGCATTTCACACACGGTCTGTGAAAAAGTAATGCAAACAGAGTAACTCATAGAGATTGCAGAGTGCAAGGATAATACTTTGAATTATTACGAAAGTTAATTTTGCGTTTCTTTTTACTTTTAAAAGGTTGCATAGATAACTCTTGTTTCTATTACAAAGCGATGGCTAAAAGCTACGTGGATACTGCTTTCCAGGTATTGCTTAGGGGGAAATGAGGTAACTGCGCGTGGCTTACATTATAATAAAGGCACTGTAAAGTTGATGCGCTGCGGCTGTGGAAAAGCTCCAGCGGGGTCAGGGCGGCGGGGAAGGTCCTAGATGAGGCGGGGCTCCCGTTCTGCCTGAACAAGTAGGGAGGCCTGTTGGAAGGGCGGACGCCGAATGGGCCCCGGGGCGCAGAGAAAGCAAGAGGGGTGGATGGCGGGGGAGGAGCTGTCGGAGCAGGTGTGAGGCGCCTGGACCTGGGTCCCCGACATGGAGCATGAGAAAGGGTCGCGGAGACAGAGGGAGCGTGGGCCGAGGGGGCGGACGAGGCGGCAGGACCCGGAGGGATGCAAAGGCTTTGCGCTTGACTGGGGGGCGGAGGAGCCCCACCTCAGCCTCGGATGGTGACTGGACGACTCAGGGCCCGTGGACAGGGGCTGCTGCAAAGGAGCAGGGTTCCCGTCACGCAGCAGGACTTGGGCAGTGGCCAGGCCAGCAGAGGAAGCAATGGGCTGAACTCCTGTGCTCGGGCCTTCTGGGGGCGTGGTGGAGCAGAGGGCTTGTTCACTCCTCTTACTGGAGCCGGGTCTGGGGGAGGGAAAGGATCGCGCAGGCCGACACCCAAGGCAGAGGAAAGGAGAGGGCTGGGTGTTCTGGGCGGGGCGATGCAGAGGCGCGCGGACGTTTGAAGGGCAGTCTGGAGCGAGGTGGGGTGGCCTTGTACGCTGAGCTTGCACTTACTTTGTCCGGCAAACTGGAAATGATTTTGAGAAAGGAAATGATTTATACTTCAGGAGCTGATGGCAGAGAAGCTAAGGAGGCGGTAGCTCAGCGGCAGAGACTTTGCCTAGCACGTGTGAGGTCCTGGATTCAATTCCCACTACTACCAAAAAGAAAAGAGGCTTCATAATGGACTATGGGTGGATTTCTGGGAGAAGAGGAAAAGCAATTGCCAGTCGTGCCGGACGCTCCCCACTTGGCCCTCCGAGACTGCCTCCCTTCCCCTGCCTCACACCCGAAGGAGGCAGCTGGCTTTTATGGACTACTAGCATAAGCCACCGGTCCCCTCCAGGCTACGGTGCAGGAGCACGGCAGGTGGAAGGTGACGCTGCTGAGGTTGTCCTGGGAACACCCCGTGCCCCCGCCTGCTGAAGGGCAGGCTCCTATCAGCGAACTAAAGCAGAACCTTCGCAGATTACACTCCTGTGACTCTGCCCTGCGCCGGCCACAGCCTGCAAAGTGTCCCCTCATGGGCTCTCTCAGTGCCCCTGGGCCTAAAACCATAACTGCTGCTAAAACCATAATTGTGCACCAGAGGAAAAACCTAAAATACCGTCCAGGCTGCAGGAAGGAAGAGGAGGAGCCGGAG